GAATTAAAGAGTGTGGTGCCTCGAGGAATAATATATTTAAATATAATATATTTAAATATATTCACAAATTATCCATTTTTAGAATATACCCAAAACCCCTACAAATGTTTAGGAGCTCCTTCCTGGTGTAGGTAAAGAGATACAGAAATAACACAAGAATAGACAAAACAGAGAGCACCAGAATGCCAAGGCAACTGTACATGGTGCCATCTTGGTATTTTATCTGACTTGATAAAACACTATTTAAGTTCAAGACATTTTTAAACATTATTCTAATTATGTTGTGTAAAACAAATAAACACAGAATACAATTATTATTTTCAACTTATATTCAGTTTAATCAATACAAAGACATTTATTGTTCAAATATATAAACTTAGTTGTTTTTTTTTTCAAATATTCACTCATTTTTAATTTAATGCCTGCAACAAAGGTTTATCAATTTCATTATTTAATTTTAACTAAATTAAATAGTTTAAGTGTCCTGTTTTATTAAAAGTTTTGTTTTTAAGTTGTTAAAAATGAAAAAAACTTTATATTTGATGCAGAGGAAAAAATGTGCAGTTAGAAATGCTACACAAGGAATAAACAGAATTATTTAAATTGAAACATTTCCCAAGAGTAAATGACAAAGTGCTGGAGGATCTCAACTTTCTGTACAAAACAATAAAAAAACAAAACAAAATGCGCAGTCAGTTTTATTTTAATGCTCGCGATCTTTTCACAGCAGACAGATTCTGTTTTCTATTCCTGTCTTAATTTGCATTCTGATTAAAAGATGCAGAAACATCTTGGGTGAACACAACTCATTAACAGAGCAGGTGAAATGATGTGTGCCACTGTTCTGGAGAAATTATTATTTTACAGAAACGAGTATTCTGACTGAGCCTTGCTTAATTTTGATGTATTGAAATGGACAGCCATGTTCACTCAGTTTAAAAAGGGTTGTTGTATATCAATAAAATAAAATGTTCAAAACAAATTTGTGTGCAGAAAAAATGTATATTTTAATGAAGGCACAAAGTCTCCAAGGTTCTTTATCTTCTATTTTATACTCCTTTTCTCCAAACCTCCTCTCCAAAGATGTAGGTCGATCGAAGGTTCAGGTCATCATCGAGGAGAACAAGATCTGTAAATAAACATTTTCAGGAAGTGTTATAAAATGTATAAAGTATGAAAACAAAAAATCATTTTCAGACCAAACAAGAACAACTTTAAACAGGTTTCAGATTGATGAATTCTTTAAAACTTACTGTGCAACTTTGAAACTATGCCCAATCATTTTCCCTCTAATTTATATATTTCTGCATGTGACCAAAACACAAACAAATACTAAAATATTACACCAACTGTCCCTGCCTTTTGTCATTGGCTATGTCTCTATTCAGGGGCTGCTTCCTCCAGAATGTGCATTTATCAGCCACTTATGTGCAGGGATAGAAATAAAAAAAATCTCCACTGGCCACAATAGCTGGTGAAGAAAAGTTTGTCGGCCACTCAAAATTTTTTATTTTTCACTTTTGTGTGTAACATTTTAATTGGTTACAAACTCCACCAGTACAATCAAATCATATAAACTGGATGCTTTATTTTTTAACTCTAATGACAATAAAAATACTGTAAACAACTTTACTTGTTTATACATAAGTGCTCACAAAGACTGATGTAACCTAACAGAATGGACAACTTAACAGTGGTTTATTATAACAAAACATATATAGGGGTCACCTGGAGTGAAGAAACAAGATTTACTGTCTCGAAGCAGGCCTCGGACAGGCCTGACGAGAAGACAGGAACTCTGTCACAAACTGAACTCTATTTAGGCCATGACAGGTCATTTCAACCCAGAAGAGAACCTCTCAGTTCTCTTAATCAGATAATGGACAGAACAATCTCTTCTG